CACCTAGGGGGCAGCCACGAAGCAGGAATTTTACGCCAAGAATTCGAGGTGGACGGAAGGCCTCATCTCCGCCTCCAAGGCCGTGGGCTGGGGAGCCACGCAGCTGGTGTATGTCGCCTCAGGTCGGGGGGCAGCAGGGTGTGTGGTGCTCAGCGTCTGGGGAGGGGTGTTGAGGCGGCCCGCGGTCCAGGGGGTCAGAGACCCAGGCCCTGCCCGGCTCTGCCCCCAGGGAGTCAGCTGACAGGGTGGTGCTTCACACGGGCAAGTACGAGGAGCTCATCGTCTGCTCCCACGAGATTGCGGCCAGCACGGCCCAGCTGGTGGCGGCCTCCAAGGTGAGCTTCCCCTCGGGCTCCTGACCATGGCGGCAGCACCACGTGTGGCGGGGAGACCATGGGCGTGGGGGTGGTGCAGCCAGCAGGCCATCCTGCCCCCCCAGGTGAAGGCCGACAAGCACAGCCCACACCTGAGCCGCCTGCGGGAATGCTCACGCGCCGTCAATGAGATGGCCGCCAGCGTGGTGGCCTCCACCAGGTCGGGCCAGGAGCAGATCGAGGACAGAGGTGAGTGCTGGGGCCCCGGTGCAGCGGCTGGGCTGGGGGCGGGTGCCCAGACGCTTACCCACTCCCCTCTGGCCGCAGACACCATGGACTTCTCTGGCCTCTCCCTCATCAAGCTGAAGAAGCAGGAGATGGAGACCCAGGTGGGCGCCCTCGGCGGTCCCTCTCCCGCGGCTGAGCTCCGGGAAGGCGGGAGGGCCCCTGGGGTGAGGCCGTGGGCTTGCTGAGCGGCCGCGCACCGGGCTGCAGGTGCGGGTCCTGGAGCTGGAGAAGACCCTGGAGGTGGAGCGCGTGCGGCTGGGCGAGCTGCGGAAGCAGCACTACATGCTGGCCGGGGCCGTGGGGACGGCCGGTGCGGAGGAGCCCGGCCGGCCCAGTGCTGCCCCCGGCAGTGGGACCTCCAAGAAGCCACCCCTGGCCCAGAAGCCCAGCGTGGCCCCCAGGCAGGACCAGCAGGTGCGGGGAGTCAGTGCGGGTGTGTCGGGGGTGACAGCAGAGGGGCCCCGGGAGTGCTGTCCCGGCCTCTGCTCACTGGCCTGTGGGGCAGTGGGCCTGGGGGACGGTCAGAAGCCACTGACCGGTGGGCGTAGACACGTGGCCCCAGCAACGCGGGGAGCACGGCAGGTGCCAAGGGCCCGTGCCAGGGAAGGGGCAGGCCAAGGAGCGGCGGGATGCCTGGAGCCCGGTGCAGGGTACGTCAGGTACTCCTGGCCGTGGCCACTGAGCCCCTCACCTTTGACTCCTGCAGCTTGACAAAAAGGATGGCAGCTACGCGGCTCCACTCGTCAACTACTAGCCCCCCCCCACCGCCGAGGGGTCCAGCGGGGAGGCCGATGGCCAGGCCTGGGCCTCGTGGCTGAGGAGCCTCGGAGAAGGGCCAGCCCTCGCTGAGCGCAAGGGCTCAGGGCTGACCGGGGCTGACCGGAGCAGTTCTTCCCAGACGAGAGCCTAGTTACCTGCAACAGGAACTTCTCAGAGCAGCCAGGACCCAGCAGGCCTGAGCCACAGCTCTTCAGGAAATACACGGAGCATTTCTAATATTCTGAGTTAGATCTTTTGTGAGTTTGTGTGCAACACACCAGAAAGCAGGGCCATTGGAGGGGGTATTTGTTTGGGCCAGGCCTCCCCTGCCCCTGGGACTCGCGGTCTGAGGTTAGAGGTGACTAGAACACAGTCTGTAGTCTGTGCTGGCTGTTGGGGACATGGGGAAGACATCACCTGTTCATGGCCTTCTTGGGACCTGGTGCGGCCTCAGGCAAAGCAGGATACTCTTAGGTGGGCTGGGGGTAGCGCCCCTTTCTCCTTGGGCCTCGCTCTAGGGCGTCAGTGACAGTGAGTGCTGAGGACGAGACCCTTGCCTGGGAAGGGGGGCAGGCCAGGTGCTGCCATCCTCCTGGAGTCTGTTCTTGCTGGAACCTGCGGTGACCCTCCTGCTTCCTGTTTTTCTTTCCCCTGGTCTGGCTGCCCCTCCCCATGCCCAGCCACCTCATTCCTCTCTTTGCCTCCCCATCCCTGGGAGGTTTCCAGCCCTCCCGCAGGCCTCTCCAGCTCAGCCAGAAAAAGCCCAGACTGCCTCCTCTTCGGATCAGATCAAAGGCACCTGGTGCTCCCTGGGCAGGGGGCTGCCCTCCGGGAGGGCTGAATGCACTCTCCTCGGGCCCCCACCTCCTCCTGGGAAGAGGGAGGCCTGGCTGGAAGGAAGAAACTCGCCTTGGAGGGGAGCACAAGGCGGCAGCTCGATTCGCTTTGCGTGTAGTATTTCCTCGTGTGTGAAGTGTCAGATCGGCAATAAACCGCACTTTGACTGCTGTCACCCCACAGTGAGGGGCTGCGCCTGCTGCTTCACTTCTCCGGGGCCAGTACGCTGGGGAGGGGAGGGACCCTCTTAGTTTCTGCAGGAAACAGTGGAACATGGGAGCCACAGAAAACTTTGCCGCTTCCGGTTCTGCCAAGAAGTGTCCGGCTCGTTTTGCCAGGAGGTTTGTGACTCTGGGACGCTTGTTTGGGGAGTCTAAGGGCTTTTCTCTGAGAGGCCTCTGTTCCCAGCCAGAGGCCCCCTCGGGTCTTGATCCCCTCCCCCAGTGCTGTTGGAAGCTCCGCCTCTTTCAGGAAGGGAGGGGTGAGGCCGATTCCTCAGTTACAAATCTTACTGAAGAATTTCACCTGAATTTCACGTCTGAGCTTGGTGGTGACCCTGACCCCTGGCTGGACTTGACTGCAGTGGCCAAACCAGCCTTTACACTGGAGAACTTACCAGGCGTCTAGGTTCCTGAGAGCGCAGCTGGCTGTGCCCACACCCACGTTCCCTGGAAGCACCCCGTGGCCGGCTGCCCTCAGCAACCGCGCCCCTCCCCCAAGGTCACCAGCATTTGTGGATCCAAAGGACGGCACAGGTCAGGGGAGGAAAAGGGCACCTTGTGTGGCTCCTGCCGTGTGGCAAGCATGCCGCTCCCCCTGCCTTGGTTTCCCAGGATGAAGTGGGGCTGTGAGGGGGCGGGTGTGGTCAGGTGAGAAAGGGCTTTGAAAACCAACCTCCGTGAACTGGAAGGGCAGTGAGAGGGAGCGGTGTCTGGTCCTTGTTTGCAAGGAAAACAGCTTCGGCAAACAGGCTAAAGCAGATGGTTCTCTCACCAAATCCAAACCAGTGAAGGCTGGTGTGAGCTGACTACACCTAGGTCCTCAGTGAGCATATGTTGCAGTGGAGCCCCGCAGTGCACGCAGCACCTACCAGTCCGGCTGAGGTCAGGCAATGGTCCTCCCTGGATGTCCCGTAAGCAAACCGGCCCCGACGAGGGAGGAGAGAATCACATGTGGCTCTGTCCAGCCCAGCACCCCCAGGGGCGGTGGACTGCAGATTTGGCTGTAAGCTTCCCAGCAACCACTGGGAAAAGACAAAACTGTCAGTCACGTTCTCATGAACAAAAGCAAGGTGATTTCTCAGAAGATGCTTCCCTCTTACTGGAAAGCCATAGCAGTGTCTCCTAGACACCCTCCCGGCACTGTGACACGAAGGCAATGGCATCCGTTTAGAGGACACAGCGATAGGGAAGCTTTCACGGGGCTGCTTCGTGCTCGTGCTCCAAACACCCTGAGGAGAGTCCCTCCCAGGGGCACAAAGGCCCCAGTGGGCAGTGAGGTCCCTCCTCCCAGCCGCCAGCAGCACATGACTCGGCCATGGGTCCCCTTTAAACACATGTGGGCGAGTCTCAGAGCAGAATGCCAGCCACAGGATTGTATCATTTACTTGAAATCAGCAGAGAATGTTCTAATTAGAGTTTCCATCAGCTGTGCAGCTGGCATGTGGACAGAAGCCGGCGGGGGGGGGGGGGG